ATAGTTGTTGGAACAAAAAGTTCTCCCAAATCACCAAAGTTGTAGCCGGAGATTCTCTTATGGTTCTCAACATTTTGGTGATTCTTATGGCATCTCAAACCCTATCACTTAAAAAAACCACTAAAAATTCTGAGTCAATTTGAATACTAAAAAAAACTCAACTCCAACCACATATACACATAAAAAAAACACAAAAACATATTTAATATTAAAATAATAATATGCATGTTTTATTATTATAATACTACTAAAATAATTATTATAACATATAATTAATTTTTATAATCAATAAATAATTATCACCTGAATTTTAAAATAATTTATTTAACTAAACATTGCTAAAACAATAATGAAAAGCAAATTCTAGCCAGTGTTATGACTATCTTGGTGGAACTGTAAATGATTGTTCAGACTTTTAATTTGTGTCTTAATTTATATTTTTTGCATTGTAAATCAATATTATTGTGTTGAGTGTATGTTATTATTTTGGTACAAAATTATAGTTATGATAAACTTTTCTATATATAAATGTTTTAATTTTATAGAAGGATATATAATTAAGGTCAACCACAAGGGTGGTGCCTGATTGGTTTGAACTTGGCTCCAAATGTCAAAAGTACCAGGAGGTTCCATGTTCAAATTCAAGGAGAAATAAAAACCATCTTGTGGCCATGGAGGTTCAAATGCGGTGACTTCGGGCTATCTGCAAAACAGATGGTCGTCCTCCATATATTAGCAAATATAAGCTAACATATTTTTTAAGTTTATTCCAACAACTTCATTTGAATGATAAAAAAAGTAACTCATAAGTTAGCTTATTTGAAGTAGTCTTTCAATGAGTACCAAGAGTTTTTTTCCCCACATTCATTCCAATTATACTAGGGGCGAGCAAAGGCAGATACCCGGCTAAAATTGATGGAATTTGTCTCGGAATCAGAACCGGTGGTTTCTGGAATAAAGGAATCATAACTGGAACAGGTTACACCGGCTCTTTATATTTGGGAACCAGTTTTGGAATCATACCAAGTACCCAGTGTCTACTTTTTTTCTTCTTCTAAATTTCATCATTTGGTACTATTATAAATTAATTATTAGTCTATTACAAAGTACTAATATAAAAAACTAAATACTACAAACGGTGAAAACTAAACTAAAAACTAATAAATACATAAATAAAAGGAAAATTATTAATTTCAATTTTAGTTTATTAAATATAATAAACATATAAAATAAAATTTATAATAAAAAAATAGTGAGTACCTGTCGGTTCCGATTTGGATACCCAAAGGGACTAGGTATGTTGTCCCAAAACCAGTACCGGCAGATACCCAACCCAACAATTAGTGGTTCCAAAAAATTGAGGAACCGGAATTGGAACCAGTCCCGATCAATTCCGTATTTTAGGAATCAGTTCCGGCTCCAAAGGCAAGTATGTGATTCTGATGCTCACCCCTAAATTATACCACTAGTGGACATTTATTATTTATTATTATTAATTACTAATAAATAATGATTATTAGTATTAATTCAAATTATCAAATAATATTAATTTAAATTATTGACTAATTTTTAAATGTAAGTTACTCATTAATATTAACGAGTTTAAGAATTTTTAAGAGTTTAAGAGTTTTAAGAGTTTAAGAGTTTTAGCCAAATGCTTTATAATATAGTATAGATTACTAGTTATTTAAAGTTACTATTAATCTTATCAATTGACTTTTATATCATT